TGCGCAAAAAAAAAAAAAAAAAAAAAAAAAAAAAAAAAAAAAAAAAAAAAAAAAAAAAATTATTAAAAGAAAACTCAGACGTGTGTATATACTGTACATACATGTCTGAGTGTAGTATGAGCCAGATCATAAGAAGTAGCAAGACTACCTGTCATCTTGCATATGGCAATAAAGACACCAGTAATCCTGCCAGTGAGTATAACAATTACAGGTTTCAATTTCACATTCGTTTGGTAGGACAAGTAGTACCTCTCTGGGTGGCTGCTGTCTACCAGTTAGCATATATGAAAGTTTTTTATATTGTTGAAGTGATATATGAAGTTAAAGAGGATAAAAAAGTGGCAAGGGAGTGCAAAATGATTGCTAATGAGGGTGGGAGAGGTTTTATCAACAAATTTTGCCGAGAATAAGAAAGTTTTGGAGGAAGATCAGTAAGCTGACAAAGCTTAGGAAACAAATGGATTTGACAGTTAACCCTTTGACTGTTTTAGTCGTATATATATGTCTTACGAGCCAATGTGTTTGACGTATATATATTAAAAAATTCTAGAGGTTTCAAATCAAGCAGGAGAAAGCCAGTAGGCCCACATGTGAGAGAATGGGTCTGCGTGCACAGTATAAAAAAAATCCTGCAGTACACCGTGAATAATGAGAAAAAAAGAACTCCAACCGTGTTTTTGGATTAAAACGCCGACTGAGGCGTATTTTCATATAGTATTCATGGCTGTATTCCTGTTTTCGTGGTCTCATTTGATAGAATGGAAAACATATTATAGAAATAGAAGTGAACTTGATTGGTTTTACTATGAAAAGGATCTTGAAATGGAGCTCAAAGTGGCAGAAATGTTCGATTTTTGCCAATGTTCAAGAGTAAACAAATGACGTTATTGTCTTATAAATGTCCAACTAGCCATTCTAATATGCAGTCACGAATGGGTTGAGGTTATTTGTACAATTATTACAATATTGCAGTAGACTGCATAACAGTAAATCTTCTATTTTTTGTGTGAATAAAAATTCAAAACAGAAAGCAAGAGGATTATAACAGGGGCCTGGAAACGTGACTGATAACAGAGAAAATGTTATTTTAGTGCCAGGAATGTCTGCATTGTTCATTCTGGACCCTATTTTGAAACTGACATTTTTTAATTTGCATAAAATTGGCCAAATTGCCAAATTCTGACCACTTTATTGGGTAGTTGAAATCGGTAAATGGGCAGTTTCTTGTACTCAATCAATAGAACAAATGGAGTTCTAAAGAAATAGCTATGAGTTTGGTGGACTGAAACAGTGGAATTGACCGAAAATGGGCTCAAAGTGGGCAAAATCACCGATGTGTAAATGTCGCCGAGGTCGCTAACTTCACGAGAGAGAAATTCCGTAAATTTTCCATCAAATTTCATACTTTGCGACACCAGGAGACACCTCAGGATTTTGGGCTGTGACAGTCAAAGGGTTAAAAGCCAAATAGGGAAACCATTAGATGGAAAGGTGAAAGTACTGGGAATACAAAGGGAATATTTTTGAGGAATTGTTGAATCTTGACGAGGGAGAGGCAGCAACTTGTTGCACTAGGCAGGGTGGAATAACACCTTTTAGGCGTGAGGAAGAGCCAAGAGTGAGTGTGGGGGAGGTGCATGAGGCACTGGGAAGAAATGTAAGAGGGTAAAGCAGCTAGGAAACATGGGATTAAGACAGAAATGCTAAAAGGAGGTGGGAAGGTACCTACGGATTGGCAGCGAGCATGCATGGTTCCTTTGTATATGGTAAGGGGGATAAAAAGAGTACGAATTATAGGGAAATAAGCCTGTTGAGTATATCAGGTAAAGTGTATGGTAGAATTATTGCAAGAACAATGGGAAAAACAGAGTAGGTTTGCAGAGGAACAAAGAGATTTTAAGAAAGGTAGGGGATGTGTAGACCAAATGTTGACAATGAAGCACATAGGTGAACAATACTCAGATAAGGTAAGGGACTTTTCATTGCATTTATGGATTTAAGGTGAATAGGGGAGCAATGTGGCAGATGTCACACATACGGAATAAGTGGTAGACAACTTAAAACAGTAAAGAACTTTTATCTGGAAAGTAAGGCACAGGTTATGATATACAGGAGAGAGACAGGGATGTGTGATGTCACTATGGTTGTTTTAACATATTTATAGATGGCACTGTAAAAAGAAGTGAATGCTAGGGTGCTAGGGAAAGGTGTGGGTCTGAAAGATACTGAATCTGGTATGAAGTGGATGTTGTCACAGTTGATACCTGCTGATATCATGGTTCTTTTGGGAGATTCGAAAGAGAAGTTGTAAAGGTTAGTAAACAAATCTGAGAGAAAGAGAGGAGCTTACGACAATGTTTCTGTCTGACTTGGACCATTTACAAAGTCACACCGTGACTTTGTAAATGGTCCAAGTCGGACCGAAACGTGATCATAAGCTCCTCTTTTCTATGTGCGGGTTATTTGTGTATCGTTCCAGTCACGGTATTGTGCCTTTTTTTGTTATATATCTGAGAATTAATGTAAAGTAAGGAAATTAAAAGCAAACACAGTTAAGAGCAAGATAATGAGAATATAAAAAAAATATATACAAGCAATGAGAGATTGGACATCACATTGGAGGGAATATGAAAGAAGTAAATGTGTTCAGACATTTGGGAGTGGATTTATTGAAATATGGTTTTATGAGAAATGAGATGAACCGCAGAACTGATGAATCGAAAGAGGTACGTGGTGAACTGAGGCATCAGTGCAGAGAAAATTTTTACCATGGAGCCAATAAGGGAAATGTACCAGTGTATGGTGGTACCAACGATAATGTATGGGTGTGAAGCATGGGTTTTGAATGTTGCAGTGAGGAGGAGGCTGGAAACAGCAAAGATGTCATGTTTGAGGGCAACATGTGTGAATACTATGCATAGAAATTGGAGTTTGGAGATTAGGAGGTGGGTTGGGGTTACTACTATTATTACTTACCACTTGAGGTGGTTTGGACATTTAGAGAGGATAGAGCATAATAGGATGACTAGGAGGGTGTATAAATCATGGTGGTGGGAAGGAGTAAAGGTCATCCTAGAAAAAGTTAAAGGAAGTAAGGAGGTTCTGAGTGCTTATGGGTTCAATATCAGGTTTGTTAGAGCATCTGAGGTAGGACTGAGTTGAGGTTGTAGGAGTAACGTTATGTAGGAGTGTGAGCAAAGTATTTTTTTTTATTATCACACTGGCCGATTCCCACCAAGGCAGGGTGGCCCGAAAAAGAAAAACTTGCACCATCATTCACTCCATCACTGTCTTGCCAGAAAGGTGCTTTACACTAGTTTTTAAACTGCAACATTAACACCCCTCCTTCAGAGTGCAGGCACTGTACTTCCCATCTCCAGGACTCAAGTCCGGCCTGCCGGTTTCCCTGAACCCCTTCATAAATGTTACTTTGCTCACACTCCAACAGCACGTCAAGTATTAAAAACCATTTGTCTCCATTCACTCCTATCAAACACGCTCACACATGCCTGCTGGAAGTCCAAGCCCCTCGCACACAAAACCTCCTTTACCCCCTCCCTCCAACCTTTCCTAGGCCGACCCCTACCCCGCCTTCCTTCCACTACAGACTGATAAACTCTTGAAGTCACCTCAACAACCCTTCCTCAGCCCTCTGGACAACAGTTTTGGTAATCCCGCACCTCCTCCTAACTTCCAAACTACGAATTCTCTGCATTATATTCACACCACACATTGCCCTCAGACATGACATCTCCACTGCCTCCAGCCTTCTCCTCGCTGCAACATTCATCACCCATGCTTCACACCCATATAAGAGCGTTGGTAAAACTATACTCTCATACATTCCCCTCTTTGCCTCAAGGACAAAGTTCTTTGTCTCCACAGACTCCTAAGTGCACCACTCACCTTTTCCCCTCATCAATTCTATGATTCACCTCATCTTCATAGACCCATCCGCTGACACATCCACTCCCAAATATCTGAATACATTCACCTCCTCCATACTCTCTCCCTCCAATCTGATATCCAATCTTTCATCACCTAATCTTTTTGTTATCCTCATTACCTTACTCTTTCCTGTATTCACTTTTAATTTTCTTCTTTTGCACACCCTACCAAATTCATCCACCAATCTCTGCAGCTTCTCTTCAGAATCTCCCAAGAGCACAGTGTCATCAGCAAAGAGCACTGTGACAACTCCCACTTTATGTGTGATTCTTTATCTTTTAACTCCACGCCTCTTGCCAAGACCCTCGCATTTACTTCTCTTACAACCCCATCTATAAATATATTAAACAACCACGGTGACATCACACATCCTTATCTAAGGCCTACTTTTACTGGGAAATAATTTCCCTCTTTCCTATATACTCTAACTTGAGCCTCACTATCCTCGTAAAAACTCTTCACTGCTTTCAGTAACCTACCTCCTACACCATACACCTGCAACATCTGCCACATTGCCCCCTATCCACCCTGTCATACTCCTTTTCCAAATCCATAAATGCCACAAAGACCTCTTTAGCCTTATCTAAATACTGTTCACTTATATGTTTCACTGTAAACACCTGGTCCACACATCCCCTACCTTTCCTAAAGCCTCCTTGTTCATCTTGCAAAGTAACACTTACAAAAGGATTCAGGAAAACAGGTTAGCCAGATTCAAGCCCTTGAGGTGGGAGTACAGTGCCTGTGCTCTGAAGGAGGAGAGGGGATATTGCAGTCTGGAGGGTCATCTGAACTGTGATGCCAAGACAGATTGAATGAGTGACAGTGAAAGTGTTTTCTTTTTTGCTGGGTCACCTTACATCAGTGTAAGACTGCTGGATTGTTTAAAAAACAAATATGACTATAGCTATTAATGAAGGGATGATACCAATTTTTTTGCCAAAACCAATACTCAATTTTAGGGTGATGCTGATACCATCAAATCAGCCAATACCCACCAATACCAATACTTTGACACACCCATAATAGATATTAAAAGTGGTTAAACTTACCCCATCAGGTGCCTCCACACTTGCTTGTTCTCTCTCTTCTTCATCATCAATTATTTCTTCTTCATCATCTTCTTCCTCCTCTTCAGCTTTCACCATTACCTTCCATTTATTTACAAGGGCTCGTGCCTTTTCCCCTACCAACCCCTCATGGTGACGTAGAGAATTGACTGACCGACCAACACCAGTTTCTTCTAAGTGACTAACGGTGACATTTAAGTACTTCAGCTTATGAATATAGTACAGCAACTGAAAAAAGAAATAGTCTTTGTACCATGATCACTGTACAATTCTACTGTCTTAAGTCATTATATCATTTCTCTCAAACTATTTTTCACAGTCCACTCCATCTTACATTTACAGTAGTCTGCTCAACCTTCATCCATGGACAAAAAAAAAAAAAATACAATTTTGATTACGTAAATAAATATTATGGCTTAATTCATATTTTATATGTAAACTACATCTGTACTGCATTTTTATAATATTTATTAAGAATATGAGTAAACCCATTTGCACTTGAGTATGCACAGTAATATACAATACACAGACCCTCATATAATGGGGGAATTTTATTATTATACACTTATGGGGAGTGCTAAACTCATGTAGGTCATAGTGCTGGGGTGGGGGGGGAGGGAGGCAATTAGGTTTGATCCAAAGAAGGTTAGCTCAGGTCCAAATCCACAGGTCAAAGGACCCTCACCAGCATCCCTTGAAGAAAAATGAATAAGAAGACCACAGAAAAAGGAGGATTCAACTCCAGAAGAAAAGCAACGTCAAAGATCGTGTAGGTTCGTAATGACATGATTGCAAACAAACCATGGTACAGGCAGAGACTGAACTCGCATCAGTCTGGAGTTTTACGACTTGCTGTGAGTTCAATCCCCACACGCACTGTTTTTTTTTTTTTCATGTAGGTGTTATCCTTAACCCTTTTAGGGTTTCAGCCGTACTAGTATGGCTTACGCCCCAGGGTTTTTGACGTACTAGTGCATCTAAATTCTAGCGCCCTCAAATCTAGTGAGAGAAAGCTGGTAGGCCTACATATGAAAGAATGGGTCCATGTGGTCAGTGTGCGCAGTATAAAAAAAAATCCTGCAGCACACAGTGCGTAATGAGAAAAAAAAAAACTTTGACCGTGTTTTTGGATTAAACCAGTGACTTTGCACTGTATTTTCGTATGGTATTTATTGTTGTATTCTAGTTTTCCTGGTCTCATTTTATAGAATGGAAGACATATTACAGAAATTGAGACGATTTTTGATTGTAAAACCAATGAAAAGTACCTTGAAATTGAGCTCAAAGTAGCAGGAATGTTCAATTTTTACCAAAGTTCAAAAGTAAACAAATCATGCCAAGCATCCAATACACGTCAACTGGCAAGTCTAATATTCTTTCACAAGTGCGCTGATATTATTTATACCATTTCTACACCAATGCAGTAGTCTGCATAACAGTAAATCTTCTACTTTTTGTAAGAATAAAAATTCAAAGTGGAAAGCCAAAGAAATACAAGAGGGGCCTGGGGATGTGACTAACGAACAGAGAACTTGTTATTTTAGTGCCAGGAATGTCTTTCTTGTTTATTCTGGACCCTATTCAGAAATTGGCATCTTTTGAAATTTGTGTGAAATTGGCAAAATTGCTAAATTCTGACCACTTTATTGGATAGTTGAAATTGGGAAATGAGTGGTTTCTTGTACTCATTTGATAGAAAAAAATGGAGTTCTAGCAAAATAGTTGTGATTTTTGTTGACTAGTACACTGGAATTGGCCGAAAATAGGGCTCAAAGTGGGCAAAATCGCCGATGGGTAAACATCGTCGAGACCGCTAACTACGCAAAAGCATAATTCTGCAAGTTTTCCATCAAATTTCATACTTTTGGTGTCATTATGATCGGGAAAAGATTCTCTATCTTTTCATAAGAAAAAATAATTTTTTTTTTTAAATTTGGGTACCCTGAGAACAAGTCTCAGAGAGGGCCTGGGGACCCTGAAAGAGTTAAATATGGTTTTAATAGCATTAATACAGTATGGCAATTCTTCATCAAAGGGAACTAAAAAAAAAAAGCAAACAACTTTTGATAAATAAGAATGTATACTGTACATGGTACATACAGCTGATAATGATATTGAATAATGAACTGTGCATGAATCAATGCTTATTTAGAATGTAACTAAATTTTAAGAGGTGAAGCTTTGTGAAAGTTCATGTAGTGACATTTCCTTAACCCTTTCAGGGTCCAAAGGCCAAATTTCAAAGTGTGCACCAGTGTCCAAGAATTTTAAAAAAATAATTTTGTTATTTTTTCTTATGAAATGGTAGAGAATCTTTTTCTGGAGGTAATAAAACAAAAAGTACGAAATTTGATGGAAAAAATTACGAAATTATGCTCTCGCGAATTTTGATGTGTCAGCGATATTCACAAATCAGCGATTTTGCCGAATTTGACTCCCATTTTAGGCCAATTACATTATTCCAGTCGACCAAATTCTTAGCTATTTCACTAATATTACTTCTATTCTATCAATTAAGCACAAGAATTCGCCAACTCAACTGTTTCAACTACAAAATAAAGTGATCTGAAATTGGTAATTTGGCCAATTTAATGCAAAGTTCAAAATACTCCCATTTCAAAATAAGGTTCAGAATAAACAATGCAGGCATTCCTGGAACTAAACTAACATTTCCTCTGTTCATTAGTTACGTTTTCAGGCTTTACTAATGAATTCCATTTTGATTTTTTTATGCACAATGAAATTTTATTCAAACCAAAAAAGAGAAGATTTACTGTTATGCAATATTGTAATAATTGTATAAATAATATCACCACATTTGTGAACATATATTAGACCCACCAGCAGGTGTGTATTAGACGTGTGAGGTCATTTGTTTACTCTTCAACATCGGCAAACATTTAACATTTCCGCTATTTTGAGCTCAGTTTCAAGCCATTTCCAGTACTAAAACCAATCAAAATCAACTCTATTTCTGTAATATATCTTCCATTCTATCGAATGAGACCAAGAAATCGCAAATACAACTATAAAAAGCATATGAAGAAACACTGTAAAGTCGCTGTTTTAATCGAAAATTACGGTCTCAGTTTTTTCTCTCATGCTCTATGTGCTGCAGGATTTGTTTTGTGTGTTGCACACATACCACATAGATGTATTCTCTCACATCTAGGCCAAAATTTACCGCTCACAGCTTATCAGAGTGAGTCGAGCTTATGACGTAGATCTACAGTTTGGACCCTTAACGTAAAGCGTAGATCTACGGCATGGACCCTCAAAGGGTTAAATATGGCTCTAATAGTATTAATGAAATTTTTAAACTAACCCCTAGAGAACATTACAGTGGAACCTCAAATTTCGAACATAATCCGTTCCAGGAGCTAGTTCTAAATTAGAAAAGTTTGAAAAGCAAAGCAATATTTCCCACAAGAAATAATGGAAATACAATTAATCCGTCCCAGAAACCCAAAAATATTCACAAAAAATACATTTTATAGAGATTAATTATAGTTTTACATACACACAACAAATGTAGTGTACAATTATGCATTAATAAATTTAAATAAACATATAAAATAACATTTTTACTTACCTTTATTGAGGACTGGTGATGGCATCTGGAAGACAGGGAGGAGGAGAGAGGGAGTTGAGGTTAGTGTTTGGAAGGGGAATCCCCCTCCATAAGGACTTTAGGTATCAAAGCCCTCTCTGGGGTTACTTCCCTTCTCTTTTAATGCCACTAGGACCAGCTTGAGAGTCACTGGGCCCTTGTCTCACAAAATAACTGTCCACAGTCCTCTGTTTCTGGCACATCTTTAAGATTTCCCTAAAATGGGACAAGGTTCTGTCACTGAACTTGCTGCAAAGATGGCTTGTTTCAGCTTGCTCAGGGTGGTACTTCTCCACAAACATTTGGACATCATTCCACTTGGCGCAAATCTCCTTAATCATTGAATCGGCATGCAACTTCCTTGCCTTTTCACAAATAATTGTCTCTGAAACACTATCACCTGCCATCTCTTTATCCTTGATCCACACCACCAACACCTTCCCACCCTGATCGATTGTCTGTGGTCTTTTTTTTGGTTATCATATTAACACCTTTCGCAACATCAGCTTCCTTGATTTGTTCTTTCTTTGCCAGGATAGAAGCGATGGTCGACTTGTTTTTCTCATACATCCTGGCAAGCTCAACAAGTTTAACACCATTCTCATACTTCTGTATTATTCCCTTCTTCATGTCAATGGCGTTTCACACTTTCTTTACCACAGACGTACCACTAGCAAGTTTCTTTGGGCCCATGGTAGCTTATTTCACAGTCCCAAAAGCACTAAACACAATGAATTAAACGTAATATGTTTGAATGAGACCGCAGGTTAATGTTCACTCAAGCATCAACAAAGCCAGACTGGCTCAAGGCGCCTGCGCGGGAACGCAGACAGAGCAAGCTGGCAGACAGGTCTGGTACCTGGCAGTTCGAAAAAAGGGGCGAGTTCAATAATGGGGACAAAGTTGGTTAAAAAAAAGTGGTCGATTTTTGAAGAGTTCGATAAGCGATATATTCAAAATTTGAGGTTCCACTGTACTGGGTCTTGTAAGTCCACTTACCACATTTTGAAGTTTTATAAGTAGAACAAATTATATCACTGAAATAATTATGTAAGTTTCACAAGTAAATTAGATATACAAATGAAAATGACTACAACATCAGGCTGAGTCCTTCAGCAAATAAAATTTTTATAAAGGTACACTGTGGTTACTATAAAGACGTGTGTGTGTGTGTGTGTGTGTGTGTGTGTGTGTGTGTGTGTGTGTGTGTGTGTGTGTTTGTGTGTGTGTGTATTATATATTATATATATATATATATTTATTTATTTATATTTTTCAACAAACCGGCCGCCCTCCACAGAGGCAGGGTGGCCCAAAAAGAAAAACTTAAGTTTCTCTTTTTAAATTTAGTAATTTATACAGAAGAAGGGGTTACTAGCCCCTTGCTCCTGGCATTTTAGTCGCCTCTTACAACCGCATAGCTTACGGAGGAAGAATTCTGTTCCACTTCCCCATGGAGATAAGAGGAAATAAATAAGAACAAGAACTAGTAAGAAAATAGAAGAAAACCCAGAGGGGTGTGTATATATATCCTTGTACATGTATGTGTAGTGTGACCTAAGTGTAAGTAGAAGTAGCAAGACATACCTGAAACCTTGCACATTTATGAGACAGAAAA